CACATGCTCTTGTCTCAAACCTCTGGTACTGAGTAATTTGTTGACAACACTGTCACCTACAGTCAGATTAAATACAAGAAACTATTCTGATCTTCAGCTCCATTTCTTCTTTGCTTTGCAGACCCGTTTCCTTCTTCTCAGTATATTAAAAGATCATTGTCAGAAGATGGTCAGAGTTCATTCTCCCCTGTATCTTTAAGTAATTATATTTCAATCAAGAATTGTGTGGCAAATTTTTTCCAACACACATGGTTCTTGTTTATGTGTGGGTAAGAAAGAAGTGACATTACTTTATAATTGACTTGCAGTCTTCAGGTTACCTGATTCAGCATGAAACACCAAAGAGCAGAATCAATGTCAGGATTCACTGTGTATTTTGTAATTAAGTTTATTGTCTACTTCCTAGGTAGTAAGTTTTGGTTAATAGTGTTTACATATTTTATTCATCTAATTTGTCATTATGGATATATTCCTTTGGCCATTGCATTATTTTGGCCATGTTATCGTGTTCAACATTGAACTTGTTAACATATATATATCAGATTTTCAAAGTTCATTATATTCCATCAGTTATTTTATTATGTTCGCCATATTATTGTGTTCAGCATTGAACTTGTGAACGTGTATATATTTAAGTTTTTCAAGGTTCATTATATTCCTTCTGTAATTTCATTATGTTGGCCATATTATTGTGTTCAGCATAGAACTTATGGACATATATATATATATATCAGACTTTCAACGTTCATTATATTCGTTCAGCTATTTTATTAGTTTGGCCACATTATTATGTTTAGTATTGAATTTGGAAATATGAGCATGTTTCAGATCATGAGGTTTGTCAGAGTTCTACAATTATTTGATTGCTTTCCATATATTATTAAATGCAATCTTAATCTTGTTAACAAGAGTGTATATCAGATTCTTGAGTTTCATTATACTACTGAAATTAATAACAAATGGAAACCCCAGTATTATTGCTCCCAATACATGATTAATTATACATAATTAAATACACATTAATGTAACTGAAAAGCTATGTTCTGTGTAGCTTTCAAGTGTTAAGTTGTAAGCAAAGTTATGAAGTTGAATACAAGTATCTCTGATGGAAACAAAATTTTCTTTCAAGTTTACCCACCATCAGCTTTCCTAAACAGAAGTATTCTATGTATGTTATAGTTCAAATGTCCATTGCATTTCAGTAAGGGGGTGTTGAATTGATGTAAATGAAATGTTCATACTTTACAGGCACTGATGAGAAACTTTCTCCTGATAAATACTCATGCTCATGCCCCTCCAGATGGTTTTAAGTGAAGTCATATTAAACTCAGTTTGAAGACAAAGAACACTCAATGAAGTAGAAACCACAGCAGTACAAGAGGCCAGGGTTGCAAATTTTTGTAGCTATTCATGTGAACTAGTGGTTCTTTGGGAGGGAGCAGTACACAAATTCTGGTGGTATAGTAGCATACCTTCTTAACGACCGAGGTCTCGGTACTGGCTGCAGCCTTGTGTATCAATAGGTTTGCCTCTAGGCACTGTGGCAGCAGTGATGCTTTCATAATGTCACGGTGGCTATGTTGCCCTCCAATAGCATTGAGCGCATTGAGTTACTCTGCTGTTCCATGGTAGGTATTACAGCAGCCGATAGCAGCAGTTTTTGTTTATAACGGCATATCGGGTTGAGGTTGTAGATAATGCTAATCGTGTGTTTTTTGGTGATCTAAAGAAATTTGAAAGTGCTCTTGCTTTTGAATGTTTTGTTCGTCAACATTTATGCAATTGTTATATACAAAATGATTGAATCTTGCACAAAAAGGCGAATGATCTTGGCTATCACATTTCTAGAAGGGCAAGTAAATTAATTTTATTTTTCTTCTGTAGCATTAGAGTGTTTAAAGCTTACAATAAAACATACGTGCCAGAAGCATGTTGTGTACGGTAGATTAAGTAGTGTTTTTTTAAGTGTATGCAGTGGGTATTAGGTTAAAATGTAGAGAACGGTTAGGTTGCCCCCACAGAAACAGCGCCCAGGGTGGTTTTGATCCCAGTTTGTTTTCTAGCTGAGAGTTTGAATGGCTAAATTCTAGTTCATGGAGGCACCAAGCAGGATATCACACACGTCTTCACTGCTCCTGACTGATGGTGTGTCAATGTCACAAAATACAACTATACAGGTACATGCCTTTACCTGTAATCAACTTATTGTTTGTAAGATTTGAGGCTTTCACGGCGGTGACTATGAAGAAAGCAGTCTTCTGGGATTTGGCACCGTGTATATGTGGTGTTAACCGACGTTTCGGAGGAACGTATCGCCTCCATCTTCAGGGTAGAAGAAAAAGTATAAGAAATCTGCAAGCGTCAAGACCGTGAGAACGGTAAAAGCAGTCTTTTTTCTTTTTCTTCTACCCTGAAGATGGAGGCGATACGTTCCTCCGAAACGTCGGTTAACACCACATATGCACGGTGCCAAATCCCAGAAAACTGCTTTCTTCAACTTATTGTTTCATATATGATACTGTAAGGCTTGCTACTATTCAATCCAGAACCTTTAGTCTCCCCTTCTGCTGTCTAAAAACATAAAAATAAAATGTACAAAACTATAATTTTTCCTCTGGTTCTGTATAGGTGTGAAACTTGGTCTCTGACGTTAAGGAGGAACATAGACTGAGGGTGTTTGAGAACAGAGTGCTGAGGAGAATATTTGGATCGAAGAGAGAAGAGGTGACGGGAGGATGAAGAAAACTGCATAATGAAGAGCTTCATAACTTGTACCCTTCGCCAAGTGTAATGAGAATGGCCAAGTCAAGGAGGATGAAATGGGCATGGCATGTAGAATGAATGGGGGAGAAGAGGAATACATATAAGATATTGGTGGGAAAGCCAAAAGGAAAGAGACCACTAGGAAGACCAAGATGTAGGTGGGTGGACAATATTAAAATGGATCTTACAGAGATAGGATGGGGTGTTATGGACTAGATTGGTTTGGCTCAGGATAGGGACCAGTGAAGCCGTGCCATAGCTCAAGCGGTTAGTCACTGGCTTCCTATCGCGGAGGCCTGGGTTCGATCCCAGGTCTGGTCAAGTGGGATTTGTGGTGAACAGAGTGGCACTGGGGCGGGTTTTCTCATAGTACTTCGGTTTCCCCTGCCAGTCTTTATTCTGCCAATTGCTCCACAATCACCCTCACCTATCGTCTGGGGTTGGTACAATAGGCCAGAAGTGGCCGCAGTACAAGGGACTTAGTCCCACCCCACTCATCATCATCATCAGTAATCTGTCAAGACCACAGGTCCACAGTCTCTTCCAAAACAATTCCTCCACTTAATGTGATCTAGAGCTTTCTCCTTCAAATGACAGTATCCTCTTCTGTCCCCAAGGTCATCCAGCATCTTCTTACGTCTTCTTCCTCGTCTTCTTGTCACTTCTATCCGCCCATCTATCTTTCCTTCGATAGCTTCTTTTAGAAGGCAGTTTCTGCGTAAAACATGACCAATCCAATTAGCCTTCCGTTTTCTTATTTCATGTAGGATATTCCTCTGCTCACTGACTCTAATTAACACTTCTTCATTTCTCACATAATCGGTCCAACTGATCTTCTCCATTCTTCTCCAACACCACATTTCGAAACTTTCCAGATGTTTCTGATCTACTGCCCTAAGTGTCCATGTTTCAGCCCCATACAGAGCTATGCTCCAAATGTAGCATTTCACTAGTTTCTTCCTCAAATTTAAGTCCAATTTGCTGGTAAAAAGATTCTTCTTCTTGCTAAATGCAGCTTTTGCCATGGCAATCCTGGATCTAATTTCACACGTACACCTTCCATCATCTGTTAACAAGCTACCCAAATATTTAAAACATTTCACATTCTCCGGTTGTTTTTGGTCTATCTTTATTGTGACTGGGGTTGGTTGTCTTGAAATTTTCATTACTTTTGTTTTCTCCACATTCATTTCCATGCCATAGCACCTTCCAGTTTCAATTAGTCTATCAATCATGCCCTGTAGCACAGACTAGCAATTAAAAAAAAAGTAGGGACCAGTGAAGGGCTGTTGTAAACACAGTAATGAACCTTTGGGTTCCATAAAATGCTGGGAAGTTCAGGAGTAGCTGCACAATTGGCGGCTTTTCAGGAATGGCTCAGCTCCACGAGTGTGTGAGTGATATGATACAGTAACCTTTGCAATTAATGTGGCTGTAAAAACTACAAATGTTTAGAATTGCATATTGTGGTGAGATTTCTTGTAAGCTAAGCTACTGTGACCTAGCACAACAAAATCTACCTAAGAAGGAAGGAGTAGTGTAGAAGTTACCTAGAAACATTTGCACTTAATCCAGAAAACACTATCTTTTGGAGAAATGATGTGTATTTGGAATTTTCCCTGTCTGAAACCAGCAAGGTGAGCTCATGTAGATTATAACTTCAGTATAAGTTAGTAAGGGAAATTGAAACTATTAGTAATTTTTTTTTTTTTTTTTAAGGAAATTTTCAGCCTTAATTGGGCAGTATGTGATGTATATTTACTCTCACTTTCAATAAGAAAATAGTGCCGCTAGGTATGTTCCCAGGATCATGTTTTTAAGTTCCTTACCATATGTTTCAAGCATAATAACTCTAAATGTTTGGGGTGGGAGCATTGGTACCACTACTAGGACCCTGAAGGTTGTATCGTATCATACCTCTTAAATGCGTGTATATGCAGTTGTCATTTGAAGTGATTGATTGGGTAAGTAGAATAAGATGGTGATCACTTGAAATAAATTTGATGACAATTGTAGTTAGACATGTGTGGTACCAGATTAGAAGTATGTACACATTTTGTACGACGTGTGTCCTGTAAGCTTATTTGATACCACCATACAAAAGGTAATGGTAAAGTTGTCCCTGTGCTTAGCTAATTAAGCACTATGCCTTCAAGATGTATGGGGAAGTGAATATATAGATCCCATGTTTTCTTGATCTCGTCACTAGTTGGAGGTGAGTGGTCAGCTTCACACCTTGCCGCTTTACCCCCGGAAAGAGCCCCTGGTACCTACTGGATAGGAGGCTGGGTGGGCCCCAGAACCTGTCTCTACATGCAGAAGAGAAATTTTTTGACACTACTGGAATTCAAACTCCAACCTCTCACCTGTTGCTGTACCAACTACGCTGCCCCAACTCGATACCAGCATGGTTTTATGATAATTTGCATGGTGTGTTATTTTTGTTACTTCCATGTGGATCAGATGATAAGTAAGAATCAGTGTTCAGTCTAAACCTGCTTTATTAAGACTGACTTTCTGATACACAAGGGCGTTTTATATATATTCACACACATAACCATGGTAACACATAACAATAGAGAGATTCTGTTTTTACACACATAACAGTAGAGAAATTAGGAACAGCGCATGTAGCGCAGTCTGTTGTTAAAATTGTTTACTATGATGTTGCCAACTCTAGCATTATATTTTAACATTAGAGAGTTGCCAACATAACATGGTGGTGGTGTGTATGTTTGGGGGTGAAGTGAACTTTTTTTAGTTTCAGCTGACATGCATTAGTATAGTAATGACTGCTCATGAGCTAGACAGACTGGATTAAATTCCCAGGTGTGAGAATATTTCTCATACCCACCATGTCCAGATCAGTTCTGGCACTTAACCGGCATCCTGTTCAATGAACACGGGGCTGGAGCACAAAGTTGACCACTTATCACTGCCTCCCAAGGTAAACTTCCACTCCCCTGAATGTCGTCACAGCATGATGCTAACCAACCACAACAGTTATAAATTTTTTGAAAGCAAAATTGATAATTTTATTAACATATTTATGTATTAATTTATATATTTATTTATTTATTTATGGTTTATTTAATGATGTTATCATTAGCTCAGCCTATCATGGGATGGTAGGATGATTAGTGAATAATGAATTGAAAAGGATGTTGAAGGACATGGTCATGACTGTAGAGAATCATGAATACCTGGTGTTCTGAGCAAGATTTGAATTTGAGATGTACCAAGTACAGAACAGGAGTACTTTCCACTTGAACACAGTGTTTCATATTCTGCCGTATTTTCAATGTATTTATGATATTTATGAAAATTTATGAACTTTATATCTACTGTACATGTACTTTAGATATACTTAGATATACATGTACTTTAAAATCATTCCCGTCTGAATTAAATGGGAGGTCAAGTAGTTCAACTTTGGTGATAAGCATAGAGTAGTGAGTTAATAACTTTTAATTTATACACATTATACAAGGTAACATCTTTGCTTTTGCACTGCGCTACTGTTAGAGGCCATTAATGTTTTTGGGAAGAAGTGACTGGATTGAGTTTATATACGGGTATATGAGGTCTGAGTAAGATTCTACGATATCTGTAAATTTTATGTCGATTCCTCCTGTGGATGGTGACATTCATTTCGTTTCCTAAGGTATGTGTATAAAACATTCGTAAACCATTCTGTAGTAAGCTGTGTCCAATGTGATTCATATTTTTAAGTAGTGTTGTGATAGAGTTTGACTCTAGAATATCTATTAGTCTTCTCTGAAGTGAGCAAACTTCCATGTATTTCACTTAATACATATAATATGTATTGAGGTGTCAGATATACATTGAAGTTGCTGCAGATGCAATAATGAAATTGTTTCGCTTATCTGGTAAGAGTGTTTGAGATTTGGGGTTTGCATGGCAGTAAAAATTTAGATTGTTGTTGTATGGTTTATGTCACTTATTATTTTATTATTATTTCTTCCTTATTCCATTACATCTATAGTAGGATAAAGCCTTAGATACAGAATTGTATCAATTTATCTCGCTAATACTATCAAGCAATTGTCAAAAAGACTTATAATATATGACAATGTTTGTTTACATCATAATACAATTACTCTCTAGCACAGTACACTCAAAATTATCATTTAAAATAAAAATTTAAGATAAAAGTTTCCATCAAAAGTAACAGAATATTTTGGTCATATAGCTTTAACATATACAACAAATCCAACATATAAAAACATTCAATTATAAGTATGGTTATCGTACATTCACAATGATTATCCATTTACTGTACTACTCAACATCTTATATATTTATATAGTTGTATAATCATTATCTCTTAAAAAATTCATCCAGTGTATGAAAAGAATTTAAATAAAGAAATTCCTTTAAATTGTATTTAAACTTATTTATATCATTAGAAGTTACCTTAATGTTATTAGGTAGTGCATTGTAAATCCTTATGGCCATGTGAATTACCCCATTACCATATTTTGCCAAATTTACCTGGCTCATATGTATTTCCATATTACAAGTATATCTAGTATTTATTTCATAGCAATCCCTATTTGTATCAAATATGTCTCTCTTTTTTACTACAAACATCAGCAGAGAGTATATACTGTGATCTTAAAGGAAATATATTCATATTCCTAAACTGTTCTCTGCATGACTCCCTGTAGCCACATCCTTTTATTATTCTTATAACTCTCTTTTGTATCTTAAAAACTCTTTCTGCATGTGTTGAGTTACCCCAAAACATTACTCCATATGTCATAACAGAATGGAAGTATGAATAATAAACACTTTTTAGTGTTTTTACAGACACCATTGGTTTTACATTTCTTATCATACAAGAAGCTGTATTTAATTTCTTTATTATCTCCTCTATATGTCTATCCCAAGTTATATCATTTGGATAGTCAGGCCAAGAAATTTTATGTGATTTGGCCATATATCGTCATCTGCAGCTGTCTCAGTGTATTGAAACTGCTACACTGCTCAGATGTGCACTAAAACCACACACTGCAGTCCACTCGTAAGGGGCGTCATCCACTTGTTTAGAGCTGTGTGATTTATTCCAGATGTTTTATTTCAGCAGCTTGTGTTTATGTTAGTTAGCCTGTTGTTTGCTACACCTGCAATCTGCAATATGCCCCTTGCTTGTATGTTGTTCCTTCTAGCAGCATGTGGTGTTGTCTAGTCACTAGTGCCTAGTGAAGACAGATTGCATAGTTGCATATTTAGTTCATTAGAATTCCCCTAGGGGCAGAGATAGATTTGTATGGTAATAAGAGCACCAAGTGTTGAAGTAGAAAACCTTTTCAAAGAATTCAAATGTATTACAAATACCGTGGGAAGTTCACAGTGAGAAAATGAATACATGAAATGATAGCCTGAAATTCCTCTTTAATTTCATACCAAAAGAATTACTTTACATGAAAAACAATGGTTCAAAATACACGCTGAAACTTAGCGCTACACTATGCATGTCAGGTATGGTCTTCGGCAACATGTGACAGAAGTCGTTAGCGTGCCATGCACAAACTAAGGCACTGAAGGGTTAAATTGATAGTCACCTCCTGAATATTCTCTTTGCCACTGGCAAGTTGGTGACCATGTGCCACAAATTCTTTTTCTGTGCCTTGTTATTTAATTTTAATGGCAACATGTTAGGAAATGTGTTATTGTAGAGTTATTTTATTCTAATGACAGATTTTATTTTCAGATGCGATGAAGTGACATAGTTAGAAGAACACAATTTCTGGCTGTTTGAAGGGTCAGTGTTTATAGTGGGTGTTATTTCAACAACTGCTGTGTTCACATGCCAGAGAATTTTATACCATCAGATGTTGAGAAGAATTCAAAGAGCCCGTGGTGTATAAGCTGGTCCTTGGAAGTTGATTAAAAATCGTACAGATTTGAACTAGAGTTTTAAAATTACAAATTTTGTCAGTAGTCACGGAAGAACTAGTACAAGTGAACTGTAAAGAGAGAAAATATTTGAAATTATAGGTTATTATGAGAAAGACTTCCCTGTAACCGAAGTAGCTATGGATGAATTATATCTGCAAATATTATCAGAACCAGTGGGGGGTTTTGCTGCAGTGCCATTGGATACACTGATTACATTATTTACTTTGAAATATTGTAGACAGTCAGAAAATTATTTGATATTTGTTCTGAAGCCTGGCCATAAGCCATCATTTAATGTTAAGATTAGAGGTTTTACTTTTGAATTAATTAAGGAAAAAGACATAGCAGATATTGTCAGAACATGTCAGTTGCCCATAATGCTTGTAGGAGATGGTACTACTTGTGTTGCGGGTTTGTGTGCTGTATTGCGGCGAGTTGTAAAAAGTGCTGTAATGCAGATATCAGGACATAGATGTCGTTCTCTTCTGGGATTTCGACAGGGCTGTCTAATGGCATGTGCTGAGTTTTCAGTATGGACCCGGTTCTGTGAAGTAGACATTATAAATACTGTGAGAAATTTCATGTGCAAAGATTTTCTTCCTAATTCAGTGACGCTTCCAGAAGATGTGGCACGTTTTGAAATTCATATGGGCCAACCATTACGTATTCACAATGTTCATAAGAGGAACCAAGATTACATTAATTCTAAAGGTGTGACTTGTTTAAAATCAAAAAATATGACCCAGAACATGACAGAAGGAAAGCATATTGAGGGGGGACAGAATCTGGAAATAGAGTTGGAGCATTGTTTTGCTGAGGGGCCAGTGATGACCCTGGCTGATATTATAATTTTCCCTTGTATGCACATAATCTTGCAGATTGTTCGTAATGTGTATTTGCAGTCGTACATTCCTTTAACAATGCAATGGTATGAGCGCGTAAAAGTACAAGATGGTGTAGAAGAAGCAATTGGTATCATCAGAGATATTCCTAATAAGATTGTAGATGATCTGTATGTTAAGTATATATTACCTGATGTTCCCAAACAGAGCTTGTATAAAAGTGATCCAAAAAGGTACAAGCCAAGGAATCGCATATTTACAAGGCAGGAGGATGTGGAATCCTCACTAAAAGTGGTGGGAGAACTAGGTATAATTGTGGAGTGGCAGCAATATCCATTTGGCTGTGAATTAGAATTTGATTGGGGTGCAATTCCATATGATGCTCACCCAGAAGGAGGACAGTTGCCAGCATTTCGCATGGAAAGGAAAGGCCAGCAACTTGAAAATCTGGTTAAAGCTGTATTGAAAGTAGCAAAGCCTGGTCATACCATAGTAGACTTTTGTTCAGGAAGTGGCCATCTTGGTATCATACTCGCTTACCTGTTGCCACGTTGTCGGATAATACTGTTAGAAAACAAAGAAGAGTCCCTTGCAAGAGCCTGTCATAGAGTTGTGAAGTTAAAATTAACTAATGTTACATTTTGCCAGTGTAATCTTGATTATTTCTGTGGGGAATTTGATGTAGGTGTATCATTACATGCCTGTGGAGTGGCTACAGATCTAGTAATTCAACGATGTATCAGTCAGAATGCAGTGTTCATTTGCTGCCCCTGTTGCTATGGTTCAGTTCAAAACAATCATATCTTAACATACCCACGTAGCAAGGTTTTTCGAGATTCTGCATTGTCTCTCCATGAGTATTTGGTATTGGGACACTCGGCTGACCAAACTCATGATGAACATAATGCCAAAACCGATCAGGGGAAAACATGTATGGGCATAATTGACACTGATCGATGCCTGCAGGCTAAAGAAGCTGGCTATGCAGTAACTCTAGCAAAATTAATTCCAGAAACTTGTACACCAAAAAATAATTTGCTGGTTGGGATACCACAAAACTGGCAATGATTTAGAAGATGTATTTTAATATATGTCATTTAGCCAGTCCCCTTCAAAGTAGTTATTGTGCGCATGGAAATTTAGTAACATGACCGAGGTTTGTGACATTCCTATAGTCCTGTGAACTTATTCCAAAACATGCTTTACAGAATGTTTTCTGTAAACATAATATAACTGGCATGTGAATTGCTTTTCATGGCATAATAACACGTTCGATAGTATAGTTTGACCAGGTGAAGCCAGTGTTCGTACTGATGGTTCTGAATCCAGAAGTGGCATGTTTGCTTGTTAATTGCTTCTGTGAACTATAATAAAGTAACATCTATTTCAGGGTACTCTATTTTTAGTACATCCAATGTAAAAATTATGAGCTGTAACAAGTATTTTGTTTTAGTTAGTACTGTTAATTTAATTATGTTAAGAATTTTTTAAGAGAGTACTTTTACAAGGGTTTCACTATAATGAGTGCTCTCATCTCTTTTTTGGAATTATGTAAACACACATTAAATAACATGGCTTAGCCTCTAATTTCTGTTTGTCAAGTCATATGAGCACTTGTCTGACACAGCATTCTCATTTCGTGTCTCCCATTACAAGCAGGGGGAAGGGGGAGTAGAGGGAGAACATTTGTTTCTCCTTCTCAAAAGCATACACAGGAGGGTTGTTGCCAGTCCATCATAGAATATCAGAAAGAAATGTTAAAATATTATTTTGTTCATACAAAGCCATGGTCTGGTATGGTCAAGCCTTTTTTCACCCTACAGGACTGGCCATGACTGTTCCAGCCCCACCTACACTCAGAAATGATATTCCATTATTTGTGGCAGCTTTATATAGCTAGACATCCGAGCCAAGATAGCTCAGTCGGTATAGCAATTGGCTATGGGCTGGATGACTGAGGGGTCAGAGTTCAAGTCCCAGTGGGATCAAGAATTTTCTCTTCTCCAAGTCGTCCAGACCGGCTTTGGGGCCCACCCAAACTCCTATGCAGTGGGTACAAGGGGCTTTTCCCCCCGGGGTGAAACGGCCAGGGTATGAAGCTGACCACTCACCTCCAACTAGTGCTGAGGTCAAGAAAAGGTCATCTATACATCCACTCCTGCTTATGGCCTCATGGCATATTGGTTAATTAGTTAATAATGCAGTCAGTTTGCTGTCTGGCTTGGCATGCAGCAGATTGTCTCATAATGGTTATGCTGCAGTTTTACATACAGGAATAGAGCTGCCTGCAAACACCATATGCAGCTAGCAGTTCAAGCATGCGTGCAGTCACGTAGCCTCAGCAGAAAGCAGGCTTCATCTAGCAAAAAACAGATTATCGGGATGCTTGAGGCTAAAGCTAATTAAAGCTGGGGCAAACCAAGGAGGAATCAGAGGCTTGTAGGAACTGGGTAGCAAGGTACACTCAAGAAGGGGAAAACCCTGATTTGGACCCTTAAGAGGCCCAGGCCTAACAGTAGAACCTCTGTGGAAAAGTTGAGAGGCTTTAGGGGACCAGGGATCAAAAGGAAGTTTCGCATGTGTTTGCGTGTGTGTACCAGTCAGTGGTCTAGTCACAGTTTGGGGTCAGGGGCTAGGCTGAAAGTGGTGGTTGATGGAAACCTTCCCAAGCCAGTGAAAGTGTCTATGGATGAAGGACAAAATTGCCAAGAGTTGTGATGAACTGCTGATATAAATTAAGGAATGGAACCCAGGGGTTTTTTCTTAGAGGTGGAGGGTGCTAGACAGGCAGCCTGTGCCCTCTTTATGCTAATCTTTTCACTGCACATCTCAAGGTTTACAGAGAATGAATTTCATTCAGTGTCCTTTGTAGTTATGGGATTGATGACTGATCTGCTGTTTGTACAAAGAAATCTGGGTGGAGCCAGAAGTAGCCCAGTGATTTAATTGAACAAAGTCTCTAAGAAAGGAACCTTGTGTGTCTTTTCCTTGTCACCCTCTCTAAGGGAAGGATGTTGTGGTAATTGGCTTAATAGTTGGTAATGCACAGAAACTCCCAGAGAATTATATGACATCCTATATGGTGGCAGCAAGTTGAGGGGAATTATTTGGGGACTTTGTGAGGAATTCATATTTGATTAAGATGTCCCCTGGTGTAGGATATTCAGAAATGTTTCACTGTCTGATAGGCTTTAATATTATGGAATATAATTTGGCATAAATGAGCTACACTTAATCTCTTCAGTGAGTATATGAAGACCCTGAACTTGCACAAGCAAGTGTTCATCATCATCATCATGATCTGGAACTTTTGATTTGTTCCATTCCTCTGTTGAGTAGGTTGGTACTTCCATCTTCAGTTCAGATTGTGTCTTGATATGCAGTTATTTTACAATAAATTCTGGTTCCATTCATACATTATGATCGTTCTATTGAGGTGTCTTGTTCTGAATTCTAGTTATTGAATATATTTAATTCATGTTTAAACACTGCATTTTTAATTTCATCATTTTATGGGTGTTCTGTGACATGGTTAAGAAATTTCATTTCTATGATTTCCTCCCACCCTCCATATTTTGTTAGTATCAGTATTTCAGGGCTTTATGTTAATGTCAGGATAGTTATAGTTCTATAAAACTGTATCTGTCTCTCTTTCCTTACCTTTTCATTCAGTTCTTGTTTTATTGTTCCACATTCATGATTGAAGTTACCCAACTTCCCTACTATATCTTTATTTTCAAAGATTGAAACAGTAGACTGGCAAGTGTTGTTTACAGTTTGAATTTGCTTCAGCTATACAAGTATCCGTCTCTTCCTTGAAGAGTTCTGTCTTTTGGGATATAAAGCAATGTAATCTGTTGTAAGTTATATCCCAGAAAATATAACTCTTCAAAACACCACTGTGAGAACCTCATGTTGTACATGTTCTTTATTTGTTTCTCAGTCTGGGAAGAGTCAAATTTGAATTTAGTGTCTTGATGGACTTTCCCTTTATAGGTTTACTGTCATTCAGAATTACTTTTTATAAAAGTACTACCACTGGTCTCCAAAAGTAATTTTAGTTATGTGATTGCTGGGTCAAAGTAGCATTATTACCCTTGTCAGGCTGTCTTTGGATATTGAACCAATCCATTCATGATGTAAGTCGGCTGTGGTTGTCACGTGGTGAGTCATAAGTTTCACCTTTTGTCCATGATGCACATACGATATGCACATATGATTCATCTGACTTCAGAGCAATCAGAAACTGTCACTGAACTTTCATGTGTTAAATGCTTAACAAGTGATTCATGATCTTGGATCTGCTGTCCTTTGAGTGTGGCTTTTGCTGCTTGGATGTGTATGTGACTCGTCCACTGGATATATCAGTTAAATTGACTGTTCCTTGTTACAATGTGGACTAATCTGCATTCAAATGCTAATTTATCTGGGTGTATTATTCATCAGCTTGGCTAAGAAAAGACACATTTTAAGGAATTTGTTAATGCGCAGGATATTCACTTGATTTTTATGAACATAACGTTTTACATGTCTTGATGCAAATTGGGAGTTTTCTGCATTCATTGCTTATGTCTGCCAACATCTAATTACTCCTATTCACTAAGCAGATATGAAGAATATTAGTAATTTATCTAAGACCCATAAAATATTGTAACGTGTTACATGTCGTCCATCGCAGAGCAACGCCTACAATGGAAATTGTTGAGTTCCACAGTGACAAGTTGAATACCAACAGACATGATTTATTTCAACCGTCTTCCAGTGCATACACTCATCTATCTCACTCCTCTCTCTCGCACTACATGTTTCGGCACAAAAGTGCCATCTTCAGGTGCTTATTCGATTTACGTCAAACTAGTTCACTGCATGCCTTGCTGTCTTCATGTTAAAATAACTAAAATATATATTTATCATATATATTGATAAATATTAAATGTTAAAAATATTAAAACTGTTCAGGATTTTTCATCCCTATGTCGTATGTCACTACGCGAGTCACACCTATCCTCTTCTGTCAGAGCACTCTTTCTACTTTCAGGTGTGTATTGTGCTTTGTGTTGTGTCTTGCTCCTGTGACTGCGTGTGTTGGCAGTATAANGAGTGTGCATTCATAATACCAAAAACACAATTTTAACAATTAACTTCTCATGTTTCAGCTTACTTAATACGTTTCTATATATTCCAATGTTATGTATATGACTATCAGTACCCATGATTCAAGGCGCAGAAATGACAATACAGCTGTTTCTGAATGCTGCTCAACTTTGCAAGATATCTTTGCTAAGTGTTTACTAGCTCTCCTGTGAAATCATGCCATTTCATGATGTACTGGCGAACATTCTTCCCTCGCTTCAAGAGATTAATTGAAAGACCCTATTCACGCTCATGAGTGACTATATCTAGGGTGTCTCCCAATTAAATTGTTTACACAAGGCTTGCTGGTGGAAAATCTGTCCTGTACACAGTACCTCCCTACCTTCGTCGAATCTATTCACAAATGTCCGCCATTGAACAGTAATTGAAAGAGAGAAAGAGTCTCAATAACTACTTTAAAACAACATATTGGCATCCCCTACTAGGTCATAGCAGCCAGTCAAACAAAATCATAGGGAGAAAAACGTAGGATCAGGAGATCTCAAATCTTTAAAAGGGATATGAGTGCTCTATCTTAGGGAATGTCTGCCACGCCCTTATCAAGTGAGGAACTGACGGTAGCACCAACGGACCTAACAGTGTTACGCAGGAAGTAACGTAATTTCTGTTCTTCATTTAATATTGTTAACAAAAAAAATTGTCCCTGTTCTTAACTGGTTAAGCACTACGCCATGAAGACGTATGGGGGAGTGGATGTATAGAGCCACATTTTCTTGATTTTGGTACTTGTTGGAGGTAAGTGGTCAGCTTCACGCACCGGCCGCTTTACCCCCCTGGATACAGTCCCCGGTACCGATTGGATACAAGGCTGGGTGTGCCCAGGCGTAGAGAAGAGAAAGTTCTTCACCCTACCGGAACTCCAAGTCCAACCCCTATGCCGTCAGGGTGCAATGAACAGGAAAAGTAGCGCGTATAGAGGAGATGAGGAGTTCTTACAAAATTTTAGTCGAACGATCTTTTTTTTTTTATTTATTTATTAAGTAAGAGCTGTGATGCTCTTTAATGACGTGATGAGTCCCTTCCCCAGTGGGAGGCTCCTCTTACTTTTCTTTTAGGTCAGCTGGCCAGTATCTTCGGAGTCTTCGATTGTACTGCGGTTCAACGAGTGTCTGTAGTATGTCGTTTGGGTGATTTGCTAGTTTGTTGTGGTGTGTGGTACTTTTTTCTCTGATGACGTCTTTGATATATGGGATATTTAGATCTGTATGTAACGTTTGGTTGTTTACATACCAGGGTACATTTGTTATAATTCGAAGTACTTTTGTCTGGCTTCTCTGGATTATTGATATATTTGATTTGCTGACACAACCCCAGAGCTCAATTCCGTAAGCCCAGATTGGTTTGATTATTGTCTTATAAAGCAGGACTTTGTTTTCTATGGATAGGTTGGATCTTCTTCCAATTAACCAGTTTAGCTCCTTGGTATTAA